TAATTAATAATGCACCGCTCGGCGCGACGACTGACCGGCGAATTAAATGCATTAACGACGATAATCGGGTTGCGGTGAATGCCAAATCGAAAATACACCGACGGGGAGTTATTGAATGCAAACGAGGCCGCGATCAATCATCCGGCTCAGCTACTGGCTTTCGACGCCCATAATGACGTTCCGGCGCTTTGCATCGCTATCACTGATTAGGGAGAAGGAAAAGAGGTGGCGTAGGGGGAAGACGAAACGCCTGCGAGTTCTCCACTCGGCCGGGAGCAAAACCGAGGAGAATTAAATAGATTGCGGAATTCAATCGCTCGGTTTACGCAGCGAATCGTGTATCGCAAAAAGCCATTGTCGTCAAGTGCACAAAGTTGATCGACAATGAACTGTAAATGCACTTTCTATAACAAGCCATTAACTATATATTTGCTTGGATGTGCTGTTACGCAGTCGGCCCTCCACGTTCACGGGAATTAAAAGCGCAGAATTTCCGCGAATATTTATTCAGGTCCACCCCGAACCTGAACTCTTAATTTAACACCCAAAAAAGTAAAACAATATACTAATAACATATTTTATTTAACTTAACGTTACAAAGTAAACAATGTAAGGTAATACACACAGATTATTGTTATTTATTCGAGCGGTGGATTAGAATCTCCATCCTCTCGTCGTCTTCCACCTGCAAATGTTGACTGTACACGGAGATAATTTTTTTTAAATTTATTTATTACCATGAAAATTATGTAATCGTGGGATAACGTGACACTTTGAAGAACTTTATGAGACTTTTTTAAATTTTACTATTTATTTTACTAGTAAAATGTATAGAGAAAAGTCCCTTATTATGAAATTATTAATAAAATGTACGATAAAATTTTAAAAAACTCTCATTAAATTCTTCGAAACGCCATGTTGTTCTACAATTACACGATTTTCAGAATAAATTTTAAGAGAAACTTCTCTCCGTGTACTCTAATTGTATAATAAAAAATGCGATTGTACGATCGCACGAGAGTCCCTCGTGAATCTTCACGGCCGGCCGAGATTCCAGCTACGATAGATAAATTTAACGCATCAATGGAATATCGTAACTGTTATTTGGAAGAAACAGCAACAGGACGACAATAGTAATGATAAAAAGTGAACGATAGTTGGACGATAGAGAACAAGGGTGGCAGGAATCATTAGCTCCTCGTTAGCAATCCGCGTAGCGCCTTTGCCGTGCACCCACAGCTCGCATCCTCCGACCTACGCACGCTTAGGCGGCTTGAATTTCCAATTACTGTTCCTAATTGACACCGCCACTGCCCGCATGTATAGCGTTAGATTCTCGCCGCTTCTATTTCCGCGTTCGCTTTGTTGCGCGCCGCGCGTGCATGCGCGTTCGCGGGACCGCGAGATAATCCCCGGTGCCATCCTCGAACGCGCAGATTCCGCGATCGGCGACGGTGCGGCGACGGAAGGTCTCCGGTATTTTTTCCTCCCTTTTCCCCCGCTGGGGGAAGAAAACGAAGGGCGACATTCGAAGGAGCGGCATGAGTAATCGCGCATCACGAACGGCGGCGATGGCGACGGCGGCGGAAGAGACGACGGGCCGTCGGGTGGCGGATTTGACTTGCGGAAAAAGCGTCGGCGTCGACCGACGGCGGCGACGCTCGCCTGCAACGTTAACGTACGCCCTGCTGCTGATAGTGTGCGCCACGTTAACGGTATCCCACTGCTGCTACGTCTTCCCGAAAGGTATTTCGGAGTGCGCGGCGAACCGACCGTCCCTTTCGTCTCCTTCTATTCTTGTCATCGACATCGGCGACGTCGGAATGCCGCATGGCAATTCTAAGATATTGGATGACACTGCACGAAAGTGTCGGAACTTCTGGAGAGCTCCGGCGCATGTTTAAGTGTTAATCTGCAAATTAACGAGCAGGCGAGACCGTTGCTCCTTTCGGTTGCAACGACCCCCGAAATTGAATCGCGCGTCATGAATATCTGGCAACGGATGCTGGCGTGCTTATTTATTTCTCCCCTCGATTGCGCTCCGAAATAGAAAAGTGTATATATACGGCGCGGCCTGGAAGCACTGATCGATAACTTGTGACAAACGTCGTTAGGCGTAAATGGCTATCGCTCAACCGTTTTTGCTTAATGTCATTTTAAGTTTATTACATATGGCGGACGGTGTCGCATAAAGCGACTTTATGTTATCAAATGTAAAAGTTTGACAAGCGTTAACTTAAAAAAGGATAGAAAATTAAAGACATAAATGTTTTATTTGTACATTCATGTTTTAATTTATAGTACATGTGCATATTTGAGTCTTCAAAAATGTTTTAACACACAGAATATAAATTTCTAAATAGAGTCATATTCTAAATTCTACAGCAAATTACGATGAAAAGTAGATTTTAAGGCCAGCCGATTAATCGATTGCGTTTCGATGGAGAACGATGAACTTTTTTTTTTAAAGCATAAAATATTCTGCCTGTTGCTATCGACAAAAACATCCGGGGCGCATCACAAAAGTTGTCGCGCATCCTGTTCCAATGATTCATGCAGTAACCGAGTGTAAACCATCACGTCCACTTTCCTCGAGAAATATATCTCGCCGGTTACGACGCCCATCTACGGAAATATTCAGTTGGGGGCCGCAAATTTCTCTCATGCACGCGCGATAAAATTTTAACGGAGCACAAACAACCCTCTTTCCGTCTCTACACACGCACACATACACGTACAGACGTTCATACACCGGCTCTTTCGAGCCGGCCCTTAGGGATTAATGATCCGGCACGCCGAGCCGGGCGCGATGCTGCCCGTCCGGGACACGCGCCCCGCTTCCTTTTTTTCTCCTACCACTGCCAAAAACGCGGCGGCGCGTAAATTCCGTCGCGAATGAATCCCAACGGGCGATAGTTTATTCATCGCGAATCGCGCGGATTTAATTTCACGGCGCGTTACGGCCCGTAACGTATGGAACGTACGCGCGCGACCGGCGTGTTTACGGCCCGCAATTACATTTCGACGGCGGCGGCCGCGGCGGCGCGGTGTGGCGCGGGCTCGCGATACGGAAAAAATATCATTGATTAAGCTCCGCGGAAGCAGAGCGGATTTTTCGCGTGCCGCGTGTACGCGCCGCCCAGCCGGAAAACGGATCGTCGCATTTTGCATCGCATTTTAAGTGGAAAAGCTAACACATTCGCGACGCCTAATTATCATAAAAAGGGTTGTAAATAAACGATTAAAAATAATTGGGGATCAGGTGGGAAGAACGGGACAAATGGCACAGGACACGATGTGTTGTAATGAGAATTTTGCACGTACCGCTGCAGAGAATTACGAGTACGTCGGGATTATTATGTAGAGAAAAGATAGGATAGTGTATTATAAAGGTCTTTGAGTGATTTATACGTGTCAAAATTCAGTGTGGAATTTTACTTATAATTTTATGGCGTACGAGGAAGATTCAAAGCAGCGGTGTACATGCATATATACACAGAGAGAATTTTCTCTTAAAATTTACCCTGAAAATTATGCGATCGTGGGACAACATGGCATTTTGAACAACTTTATGAGAGTTGACAAATATTCAAAGTCACGGCCAATGTATTCTACGAGCAAGTATAAGATTAATGAAATTTATTCTACATACATATAATAATATCGATTTCGATTGGAACTACAAAAAGTTACATCAACGGTACGCATTTCGACACTGTACTGTGTCTTCTTCAGCTTGTTAAAACTTAATAATAACAAAGAAATGTAGGTCGCATGAAAACGTGTCGTGTTGAAAAACATGACATTTTTAAGAACTTTGAGAGTTTTTACCGTACATTCTACTAGTAAAGTGTGCTAAGTATAATTACTAGTAAAATGTACGGTAAAATTTCAAAAACTCGGATAAAATTCATGGAAATGCCATGTTGTCCTACGATCACACGATTTTCAAGATAAATTTTAAGAGAAAATTCTCTCCGTGTAGAATATTTGTACGTTCAAATATGTATATATGTCAAAACATTCGGAGAGCAAAATTATAGGATGGAATTCTTGAAATCCACCGCGAATTATAGATCGCTTAAGGCGAACGTTTGAACGTGCCGGATCCTCAGAGAATGTGCAAGTAAATATTTTAAAATAAAATTCGAGGATTGTGTGTGTGTGTGTGTGTGTATGTGAAATATTTACAAGCTGCTCTGGTATGTTTTAAACTGAATCAAATTTCGAAGAGACACACACAGACACAGTTTGCGGACAGACCGTTCGCAACTCCACGGGATGCGGCATTCCGGCGGGAAACACCGCGGGACGAAGGATTACATGCCGCTCGGCATTTCTGTCATAAACTGGATGCGCCAATTCCAATCCGCAAATACGAGAACGTTAAATTGTACGTATCGCCGCGTGATTGTCCTTGGCAAACGCACGCCGCTCGATGAAACGTCGTTGATCCTACATCCGTCATTAGACTTCATCTCGTTACTTCGAAATCGAAGCTGTTCGACAGCTTCCGCCAACGAGATTGACCGTAACGTCCAACTGCCCTCGTCAACGGATTATCACACCATTACCAATTCATTTCCGGTATACACGGCATTATCAAGTAGACCAGAGAAGAGATATACAACTTCGCGCGATGCAGGTCTTGCGTCCGGTCCGTTTTCACATTTCGATGAAATGTGCAATAATTGATCATTACTGTTTAATCGACTATTTAATACATAGATTTGTTTTTAAGAAATTCAGAAAGATAATTACAAATAATATTAGTTTTCGAGAGATATTACGAACTTCAAAACACGTCATTTCAATTGTATAAATAAATGTACATGCATTTAATGGTCATATGTTGAAATTAATTGAATTACTGATTGTTAATCAACATTAACTCATTTGGGAAAAGGTTGGGTAAAAAAATAACTGCCTTCAAGCGTTATCAAATAACGTGATCATCGCGACTTTAACTAATGGCAGACTTGGACGTTTTTCTTTTACAGAAATCAAGGATCCCTGTGACAAGCTGAACTGCTCGCAAGGATCGCAATGTATACGAAGTAGGGACGGCAAGGAGGCCATCTGCCAATGCCTGGAATTCTGCCCAAATTTAGGGGATCACGAGGGATCGGGACCTGTCTGCGGCACGGACGGGATCGACTATCCGACGCTCTGCGACCTAAATCGAGCCGCTTGTGCGAAAGGTGCTAACATCACCGTGGCATTTCGTGGCAAGTGCGGTAAGTGTTCCTACAGCGAGACGAATGTTTCGAGTAAGCGGTATCTTGAGAAATAATACGATATAACCAAATTTATTTATGACATAAATCCTGTTGTTATCGCAATTCAATTTAAACAAAAATTATTTCATCGGAACGTCTTGCTTTCAAAGGTAAATTTACGGACTAGAAATTTCTATCGTGTCGATTTTGTAAATTATATAGCGCTTAAAGTGCAGCTAAACAGACAAATTGGCATCAAGTATATATACATTTATTAAAATACAAAAATTAACGTGTTTTGATTTTGCTTGAATCGACTGCGGTTAATGATTAATCGTTCACGTTGATTAATCGAATAAAAATGGAAAGATTAATATGTTTGTGCAAAATAAATTAATCAAACAAATTAAGATTAATGTGTTTCCATTAAAGCTTACGATTGTTGATCTCAAATTCAGGAATTATACACGAAGTCTTTTCTTACATACAAAATATGCAAGTTTATTTTACTTCGTGTGCATACAAAGAATTGCGCATCGTTTCCCCATTTACTCGCGCTTATATTAATCGCTGTCGACACGTTATCACGTCCCGAACAATTCGCGGGCGTGAGCAGACCCGCTGAAACCGCCGTCATTTCTTCCCTGCGGAACATTATTTCGTTACAATTGTTTGCGTTTCGGCCAAAGCGATTTGCCAAGCGGTAAGGAGACGCCCTTCCGACCAATCATCCCTAACTGTTTCTTAACCATCCACAGCTACATCACTCCATCTAACGACGCACCCTCGCGGGATCGGAATCTCCTATACAGAATCTCTCACGAACACTCTCTTATAGAATGACTTGCCAAAGTCAGAATCGATCTTCCCTAATAATTTTGCGAAGTTCAACGTTACGTACAAATTTAAAAGAGGAAGTTAACTTTGTCTCTTCAATTTGTACGTAATACTCAGCGTCACGCCAGTCGGGCAAAGTTTCCTCGCGAGATTAACAAGAGTAATAAAATTGTACTGCGTTAAATCGCACTCGCTTGACATTTATTCGCGAGTATCAAACGTCAAGTTCTTAAATATCAGCAAGACTACGTCGGCGTAACTATCGCCGTTTCTCCTTGGAAGAGCTATGGATAGTCCAAGACATCCTATACACACGGCCCTTTAATGCGCCATATTCCACACAGCTGTCACCGTTCGTGTCCACAGGTAGTCGTACACGCATACACCCACGAAAGAGAGAGAGCCCTCCTCATCTAACCCCTTCCCCCTCCCCCAGCTTTCCCTTCACCCTACCACAGAAGCAGTACAAACTTGGCAGGCGTTTAATCAACCGAGTAGTAAAGACAAATGTTTGATCAGACAGGTAGCTACCAGGAGTAGGCCGTGTTTGCTTAGGATTAGGTAAGTCCATCCTTGCCGGTCCCCCTTCGCTCTTTCACACCGGGTCTTCTTCGTAGCGCCGTGCAACCCGGCGCGCCGGCAGACAGTAACAGTTACGGTTAATCGCGGCCGCCGGTTAACGAGCTAGTTAAATATGTCGCCGAACGATTCCGGGTCCGCGCTCCTTAGAAATAATCGTCGCGGAACGTAAGGGGCTGTACAAATAGACGAATTTCGGACGATTTGATAACAGCGTAGGAGTTTAGAACGGAGCTCCGGGGCGCGAGTTCGTAACGTATAAGCTCCGCTTTAAGGGTGAAATCGATTCTACAGCGAGCTTCAAAGGTTACAGGCTCGTTTCTCACGTTAGTCCTAGGCACGGCTGTGTGCGATTGATCCAAACGACACAGATTTGCCTAGGAGATCGAAAAAACTATTAATACGATGAAAATTTAAGGCTAGTCTAATTACTTTCTGCTGTTTAATGTTTCCAAAGATATTTTTGTGCAGCATAAACTTCTTGTATGTACAATATTTCTATGTTATGCAGATCTACTATTTTTAAACTTTCTGATATGCGAAAAAATCGTTGCGTTGAACAACGCTTTTCACGCGAGAACTTGGCGTTTCTTCTAGTCCTTTTTACGTTTTTCTAAAAGGTAATTTTTTTAAGCTGCGCAGAAAGAAAATAAGTGGCTAGTGTAATTAACGCTTCAACGTTACAACGGGTACATATATCGCGCTGCAATTTTAATGAGTGGAAATTACGGATGAAACTTTGAAAGGACTCGTAAAATGCATGGGATTTTATGACGAGAGCATTAGAGCGCGGTTGAAAGTGCAGATATCTCACGTTAGAATCGCACGCAGCGGAACGTCGTAAATTGTACGAGCGTGTAAAGAGCGATACTGGAAAATAATAATCTTCGTAGTTGTACGCGAGGTAAATCCTCGTCGCGCGATGCGATCGTGGAGCTTAATAACGACGATGGTACACGGTAAAGGGAAGTGTAATAGAGACGTAAAGGCGACAAGCGACGGGGAGATCGAAAGGGAGCGCGGGATTGAGCGCCGGAAGTTTACAAAGATGAACGCCCCCCCCCCTCT